AAATAATTACCAAATTGATTATGTATGCTATAAATCGATGTTATAGCATACGCTACAGTTGGATATAAAAGTTGGACTTTCAGTTCTACAAAGATTGCACCGAAAACGATGATTATTCGAAGCTATAAATAACAACAGCAATGAGCGTTGAAATCCCAATGAACTCCCTAGTATGAAAATGAAAATGGATGACATTTTAAAGCAAAAAAACTGAGACGAACTTTAATTATTATACTATAGGGCATCCTTAAATTATGAGAACTTTAGCAAAATTTAGTATCAATCTAGAGATTTTGCGGAAGAATAAAGAAACATTCGTAGAATTGTTTAATAAATCCTTGGATTTTTGAAAATTAGCGATCATGGCTTTCGGTACAATCTTCGTATTAAAGTACAAAGATCTTTTCAAACTTTATACATATAAAGTCGATGTATTGATTTTTGATGTCGTGATATTTTATATACTAATTATAATGTTCTCGTTGTTTTTATATTTATATACCTTTAACCAATGTTGTAAGAAGTAATTTAATTAGCGAAAAACTTTAATTTTTCGAATCAGCTAATCTGACGATAATATGATCAATCATAACACAGCGTAATGTTATTCACTATACAGCTATATAAGTTTACATTGAAAACGTATCTTTTTTTCGCGACTATATGTATCTTTTATTCAATATATCTTTTATTGAATTTGTATAAATGCTATCCGTTAAATTGTCATCTTGGATTGAAGCGGATTAAATATATTGGGACTATTGTACATAAAATAGGCTCAATCATGTAAAAGCCACAGAAAATCAGCAATTACAATTACTGTAGGAAACGAAGATGTCTTACGAAATAAACTGGAAATTAACAGAATTACTTTGACTATTTTATTTATATTTCTGTACTTTGAGATACTTACATTTTACTTTACACATATTTACATCGAAATACGCATAAATGTCACGATAAATTAAGACAAAAGAATATGCAGAATGGATATAACATAAGTACTTTACTTACAGGCAACGATAAAATATTATCATTTAGAACTATCATTAAATGGGCATCGATCCATTTTCCGATTTAAAATCAATTTTGAAAATATTTAGTTTTGCCATTTGTAAGAAAGGTAATAAAAAGCTTAAATATATTTACGCGTCATCAAAAATTCTTTAATTTTTACATTTTATCTACCTGCTAGTGATTCCCTAATTTTTTTATCGATCCAAGAGCGATAATGCGCTACACGGACGTAAACCCCGGGTCTGTTCGCTTTGCCACAATGTTGACCCCAACTAGTTATCCCGTATAAGCTGAAAGCTCCTAATATAAAAAGAAAAATTTTACCAATTTTAACACTACTATTATAAATGCAAATATTAATTTTACTCGGAATACAATATTTTCTTTTTTAAAAGAGTTTGCAAGCTTAAATTTGTTAGTTAAAAATTATAAGGAATCGTACTCCTTTCGGACAGAACAATTTTTATATCGTCTGAACTTTACTATTGCTTGCCCATTCTATACACTGCGTAAACATATTACTATAAATCTGATTGCATTCTATATTTGAATAGCTTTTTGTCGCCAGTAGTAATTAACCAAGGGAAATTTCTTTTTAATCGACCAAACTGACAAAAATGATGATCTTTATTTTATTCACAACGTTTCAACTTGTTTATTGGGTCCTTTTCAAGTACAATTTATCTCGGTAGTCGGTGCACTTTTTAATAGCGTTTTATTCGAGATTCACTAACGTACAGTTGCTGCTCGAAAATTTTAGCAATTGACATCGCTATTAAAAATCCATTGATTACTGAGACATATTGTACTTGAAAAGGACTTGATAAAGAGGTCGAAACGTTGTGACTAAAATAAAGATCATCATTTTGGACAGTTTGGTCGATTTTTTTAAATTCCCATTGGTGCATTCCATATTATTTTTAAAAAAGTAATTCCTGTTATATGTATATGGCCTGTCGTATATGATTTTCATTATGATTATCAATCTACTAATTATTTCAATACATTACCATTATGATAGCATGCCAAAGGACCTCCAGAATCACCATCGCACGAGTCGACACCTTCATCAAGATATCCAGCGCACAACATTCCGTCGCTTATAGCACCTTCGCCATAAACATAACTAGCTCGGCAAATTGACTGATCTAACAAGGGCACCCAGCCATATCGTAAATCCTTCGATTGCGCTGCAAACAAAATCTGATATATATACCCCGCGAGATTCAGTTTGAAATAGTCTTCTCCAGTATTTTTCACTAACTCGTCTTGCCCGTTTCAATACTGCCGAATCCGCTGATCGTGCAATTTAGTCCGGGAGGGTATTCGGTATTTTCAGACGGCAAGCAAAGTGGCATGATATGTTTGCCAAGTGGAATACCGAGACCTTTAAGTAGAACCAAAGCAATATCATTGTTCATTCTATGGCCTTTGCGAAATTCCTCGTGCACGTAATAGTCCTCAATGTTGGCTTCCACTTCCGTTCCCTCGTTTATCTGATCACATTAGTCACGATGTTAAGTCATCACATGTTTAGCAAATATTTGTGAAAACATTTTTGTCAATTCTGTGATAATAATTATTTACTTACATCCATGTTATAATCACCCGCACGTACAAAATAGGTGCCTTTGTTGTAACCTTCTAAACAATGTGCCGCTGTTAGCACGTGTAGAGGCGATATAATGACAGCACCACACCAGTGATTTGATCGACTATGCCCTCGAACTCGAATGCTGGCCTGAATATTATTTAACAATCACTACCCAGAGAACATTAAAATATCTTAAGACATCTTTTATACGCGCGTATTTGGGCAATCTCGCTGTACATCTGACACAATATACTTATTTTAACATTACTTATTTCAATCATATTAGATGTTTAGGTAACAACAATTGCCATTGGTTACCATAAAGAAATTTAACATTATCTCTGTACAAGTAACTTACCTGCCAGGGATAGGTGCCTTTCGGTGCAATGGAGCCATGTACTATTTTCTGAAATATTAAGTCCCCATCGTCATCGAAATCTTTCGCACGTTGACCACAATTTGACGGGAGTAGGTCGTTAATGTTTCGTTCCGAACGTTCTTCGCTGATTATCCAGGGCGGCTGCTCAATAAAAAGGAATATTGGGAAATAAACGAGCAAATCATATAAATATCATGAATTTTTTCTACTTTCAAGTTGTTATCAATGTCGTAATTATCACGACATAAGTCAAATTGTATTTTACTCTTTCAAATAATTAACTTTGAGACTCTTTTAATATTATTTCCAGAACGTACAAATTCCCAAGTGGTTCGAGCGACTTGCCCCAGAAAGTTTCTCATATATGTATTGGCATATACATATTTTTATATCTGTTTATGCTTTTTGCTTTTCCGTGCTGGTAGGATTAAGACGTGTAAACAAACATAATTTTTCATGTTAAAACAATTGTGATTGTATTTTTAGTCTGTGCACTGGTATGCATATAAACTGGTGTATTCTGGGGCAAGAATAAACTTGTGCGCAATTTTTGTAGAATATTAAAATATTATATACCATATGTATACATGTATTCAGAATATTTTTGAATTATAACAATATTGTTATACAAAAGAAATAATATACAAGTCAGTATACATATAAGTCATGTATACATATACTGTTTTATTTGCTCTAAATAAACGTAAACAATAAAGATATTTAAAAAAATGTATAGAATTTAAAAACCTTTTACACAATTATAAAACATTTTATGGAGATACATATATTAGTATAAATATATCAAAATCTATTATTATTATTTATCTCAAATGCGCAGTCTGACAGATACAATAATTTTAGCCTCAAAAATTATGATAAAACGAATCAAGGTTTGTTTTATTTACTTGGGGGTTATTAACATCTCCAAGTGAACAAATTACACCTGCGTCCTCGTTATGATCGCAATTATGTTGACCCCAGTGATTATGTTCGCATCGGTATAATTGCGATTCGTTTCCATGACAGAAAACCTATTTTGTAACAATTTAAAAAATTATTTTAGAAAATTAATAAAATATTACTAAAAGATAGCTAAATAATTGGGACATTAAAGATATATAAAATGCAGTATTAAATAAAAGAAGATAAATACAAAATTAAAGAAATGAGTAATATTATTCCACCAAAACTAGCAAAACATTTGTTGCGAAAAAATAAGAAATTAAGAAAAGGAAATGTTAAATATAAATTAAAAGAAACTTTAATAACAAAGATTGTTCAAGTCTCTTTTTGCAGAAAGAAAATTAAATTTGATGTAGAAATATATTACTTCATCGAGCCATATTGGTCCTTGGCCAGGCCCAAAGTAACCGTTTTTCTTAGCTATTGCGATACCACCGTATCCCAAAGATCTACAAATAACTGTTGCCGTAGCACTTGTAAAATCATCATCGCACACGGTACCCCACACGCCATGATGACGCACTTCTACCCTTCCTTGCAAAAGATTAGTGCCATTCACCAAGCGCAACTCAAATGGTGCCTGAAATCCAAGTCGTATAAAGATAAGCGAATCTATATTGTCACTTTTCTCTCAACTCTCTTACATCGCAATGTTCTGGACTCTCGTCGGAATGATCTGGACAATCGACCACCTCGTCGCAAATAAAGGGAGTCGGAATGCAAGTTGGAGTATTGTCGCATTTCCAGTAACCTTCCTGACAAGTGTTGACTGCGGTCTTGCATACGATTCCAACAGCCTCTTCCGGTTGACAATTATGAACTCCCCAACTGTAAACGGAAATATGAATACTTCAGCTCTATCAACTTTAGTGCAATATCGGTATTTTAAACGTTAGTTTAACGTGATCGATTGTCAAAGATGTTACAAGAAATAAGATATAACGTCAATTATATTACCCGTTAAAATCGCATTCCCGTAATGTGCTCTCGTTTCCGCGACACTTCAACTGATCCACCATAAATCTTGTGGGTGGATCGAGATTTCCGTAAAATCCACCCGGTCTAACTTCCAAAGCTCCAAGATCGAAACCAAGCTCTTTGCAAATAACATCAGCATTGATCATACCAAAGCCGTCGTCGCATACCTGCCCCCAATGTTCTAGAACTATTTCACAACGTTGGACATTGATTAAAATTATAAGATGTAGAAAGAGAAAAGAAGAAGAATCGTTATGCTTCTAAAATATTTCTTTCATCTTTTCCTCATAATCTTCTCTTTTTTAAAAAGCATATACATATATTCTTGCAATAGATGTACTTACTTTTAACTTCTATTCGACCCTCATAACTATTATTTGCACCAGCTAGGCGGATATCGTAACCAAAATTTTCAGCCGTGCAGATACTCTCATCGCTGCGATCATTACAGTCATTTTTACCGTCGCAAACTTTCGTTTGGTTAATGCACTTGTGATTATTACAAATATACATGCCGTCACAGTTCACGCTTCTCTCTTTCATTTCATAATAATCGAACTCTTTGTCAGGTTTGAGTGCGCCAGTTAAGCCGATGTTACTGTTACTTAATAAACATACGTTGCCATCCGATCTAAAACAGAACATGTCTTTGTAACTTCATTAATTGTACATCATACAAAGAAAATAATTAATCTCCATGATCAAGGCCTCCCAGATCCCAGGCAAAGTTACTTTGTTTTTAAATATAAATAACTTTCTAAAATATATTAAATATTTTCCCAGTACGGCCTTTCATGAACATATATTATAATTAATGATTATTTTATAAATAAAAATGATTTTTAAACAAACTTGTGGTTAAACGAGCGACAAGTAAAATCAGCTTCTTTGCATCTTAATGCGCAGGTTTTTAAAGGTGTATTCAACCATTTCTCCATATCGTAGCCCTCTAGTTTGTGTTTTGCTGATTTTTCAAACATATTCAAATCCAATATACATTTTCTTTCATCAGCTCCGTTTGTACAATCCTAAATAACATTACATTAAAAATTATAATAATTATATCACCTGGATCGTTAAGATGTATTTATTTGAGGAAAATAAACAGTAAACACAATGAGTTTATGAAGAGTTAAGATTTTTTTAAAACATAAAAGTTTAGTAGTCACTTTAAATTATAATATATTTTGTCAATTAATGTACTTATTACAAATATTTCTATTAATTTAATGTACTTTACAAGTTAAAAATTTAGTATAATAACACGTTATTTCTTTTTATCTCTTATATTTTCGTAAACAATTGGTATATTGCTATCGAGCTGCTTTATGCCAAATTTTGTATTATATATAGTACAGATATACATATATGTATGTATGTAGCATGAAGATATCTCACCTCCTCTCCATCGCAAACCCATGGGGATGGAATGCACTCTCCTGGAGTACATTCAAAATGTTTAGGTTTGCATTGGCCAGTCAACATAGACCGTTTGGAATCTAAAGAAAAAAATAATTTATTGTTTATATTCATGTATTATTACAATCATCATTTTTGCCAGATGCTATTGCTTTCTTCACAACTAAAAAAAGAAAGATTTAGTTAGTAAACTCGTATAAAAAAATCTATACCAATATTTCCACAGGGAGGAATATCGCAATATTCGCGCTTTCCAGTTTTTGTAAAGCACCACGGTCTGGATTCCTTTGCCGGATTAGGATTTCTGCAATAGTTATGCGTTGCCAATTTGTCTCGAATTTCTTTATCAACAACCTACGATGATAGAAATTGAGTTGTACTTTGATTCGATGGACGTGTTTAAATATATGTATGTATACACATAAAAGCACCTACATATATACGTAATTGATGTGCGATTCTCTCATCCACCCACATAAGACATTCGTTTCCTGATATTGTTACATTGGTTTTGCCAATGTAGTGATTTCCTTTTCCATAAATGCAACCTAGATAAGCGACAAGTTTGTGAATTATCTTGTATTCAAAAAGGTTGTCCGACGTTTTATGATAAATTTTGGAAATACAGTCTATTATGCGAGAGATTATAGCTTTTACTCGCGGATATATGGGCAGTGACGCATTACTAGAGCAAAGGAATGACATGTACAAATATCTATGCAATGAATTATGACCGTATATACAATATTTTTCAATGTATTATGTTTATATTAAATTTATTCAACAATTCTTAATAATACCAATATCATCATAAGGCCTCTTGCAAACAAAAGAATGCCCTTTCGAAGTAGATGCGCAGTCTTCAGTGTCCCAGAAGTAATAATCTGTGTCACAAGTTGATTCGGGTCGTTCGTGACAGGAAAATTTCCGTTTCATCACGATACAGAGAGGACGAGAACCTACCCATGGTGGTTGTTCCGTATCGTTCATCCAGCCAGGCCACCACTTTGTAAATCTAGTAAAATATTTAATAAAAAATTCAAAGATATGGAAAATTAATTAAATGGAAAAAGAAAAGCAGATCGATAAAAATTATCTTATTACGTAGTTAAAGATACGAAGATATGCAAATTAACAATAAGAGAAGATATTTAACAAATTAAAGATTCTATATAATCATACTTGAATTTAGTATGAGCAGAATCCGCCCAGAGCCACAAGGTGCGACTCATGCTGGCAAAACCAAAGCCGGAAGTCATAATTGAGCTAACATCCGGATACGATTGCAACAGCCACTCCGAAATAAAGTTATTTTCCGCCTGGCTAGTGATGTCGATGAGTCGTGCATTCATTCGTTTGCAATGTTCCAATGCTTCAGCATGATTCAATCCATTATCAGGATGAGCTAAGTGATAGCACTGTCCATTATGAGATATTTCGTCCTTGCGACAATGCGCGATTCGATTAGGGATACATCGCACTCCAATCGCATCTCTATCCACGCGACACTCTTGATTATGTGTGAATCTAAAACCATCATGGTACATATTAATGTAACAAATTTTTGTTACAACTTGCATCATATCAAAAATATTGCAAAAAAAGATACAAACATAAACTTAAAAAATAGGAAGAGAAAAATGATAATTGTAAAATATTTAGTAATAATATTTAGACACTGTTTTGTGTGTACAAAAATCCCTTTTTTTATTACCTGACTTTCCCATCTTTATTTAATAAAAGGTATATTTATAAATCTCTGCTAACTTATGACTTACTTGCACGATTGAAAACTGGTTTCATTGCCGAAGCATGTCACAGTATTTGCAGCAATCCAAGTTGATACACTATCGTGATTGTTTCTGCCTTGCCAAGCCATTTCTGCGCCTCTATAATAAACAAAATACTTAGTCACAAATTATCACGTTTTCTTGCTGTCAATTCAAAATAACCAAAGTTTATAATAGACAAAATTAGAAAATATACAATATGTGTAAATGTATAATAAGTTTCACAAGTAAGTAATAAGTTTTATTATTCTAACTTTAATTTATCCAATCAAGTTGGATTATCAAAGAATTTAGTATATAAAATTATTATATATGTATATAGATAAGAAATCTATGTATTAAAAATATGTATATAAAGATATTGGTATTGTTAATGGGTTTACACCCGATTCTTATGATATTCAACATATTTATACATAGCTAATGTATAATAATATAATATGTGCACTGTACAAAACAATTCCAACGTAATTTTCAAGCTGTAATAAAGTTTTATTTTATATACCTGATATACCCGAGTTGTCTACATACAATATGAGCTTTCTTTAAAGTCCAACTATTTCTGGAATCGCAAACAATGCCCCAACCAGGCGACACACCTTGTACTTCAACGTAACCATTATTAGACCCAGAACCGCCTCTCAAGCGAACAGTCTGTTAATATATCAAGTAAAATATTATTGTTATTATAAGATTAAGATGAAATTTTTTAAATCTATCTTTACGTAAGTGCTCTCACCTGTCCAGATATAGGCGTTAATTGAATGGGCTTTTTTGAGTGAGTTATTGGATGCACTGGGTGCACGTAATAAACTGGGAATGCAGATTCTTCTACAATAAAATTAAATAAATTTTTTGTTTACTTATTTTATTTAGTTATCACTTATTTGAACAACGTAGGATACACTAACTCATTGTTAGTGTGTGTATTTGACATTTATACGAATATATTTTTAGATTAATGTTTCCATAAAATTAAATAAAGTCATGCGAAAGCACAAGAAAAAAGTACATGCAAAGGGATAAGACTAAGTTAGATATAACTACATATGTATAACTAATTTGTATGAATAAATGTAATATAATATTGTATGTGTGTGTGTGTAATAATATACGGTGTAAATATTCAAAATAGAATAGTTAGATTTAAATTTTTGCAAAACAAAAACCCAAAAAATTATTGTATAAAATAAAAATATTTAGCATGAAATATCATAAACGTTGAGTAAATTATAATTAATAAATTAAAATCTTCAAGTTGGTACATTATTGATTTCAATGTTTCAATTATTGATTGTGACCACAAATCTAACACTGAAATATTGTACTTTGAAAGAATGAATGGTAATACCTCTTGTTAAATCCCTTGCAAAAGCTTAATCTAAACTACAAAGTTCATTTTATCGTTGCATAATACTTTGAGCAACATCACAATGCACAAAAAGCTACCAAGAAAGCTATACAAAAGAAGCAATTGATGAATAACTTACCCAAATTGATTTTTCACGCCCACACGCGAGCACTCATTGTATACATAAAACACATATAAATTTGTATAAAATTAAATCACCAACTTACTTTCTTGAAACGGAGCTGTTTCGATATTAAAAAGTTCGACATCGGTATTTTTCGGACCGATTCTCATAATGACTGATGAAGCTGTTGTCGTCTCGGTTTTATTTTCGAAAACTAGTCTGGGTTTCCAAACGTTTTTGTCATCCAATACATCCACGTCGTAATCATTTATTTCGGGTTCTATAATATTCGGAGGTCTCAAATCTGTATAACTTATCTTCGTGTCACTACTGCTCCAATGATTATCTTCATGTTCAATTGAATCAGTAGGTAAGCTAAGATCGCTTATGTTACCAAAATCATCCAACTCTTCTCTCCTAGTGTTTCCAAACTCTCGTTCTCTTCTCGGCAACTCGAATTGTTTATTTGAAATTTTTTCTGTTGTCGTTGACATCAGCGTCGTGAAAAATGGCTTATAATTATTTTCACCTGTTAAAGAAGAAACAATTTTGGCCAAGTGTTTGGATGTAAATTGCAAAATTTAAGCTTACAATTGCTATCACTATTGGCTAAATTATTATGGCCTAAGCGTTATATCAATGATGAGTAACAACTGTCAGTTTCTGTCATGACAGTTAAAATTTAAATGAGAGAGAGAGAGAGATTTTGGCTGCGGTTAAGCTGTCGTTTCAAATGTTTCCAAGTATTCTTCTTTTCCTTTCTTTCAGAAAAGATAGAAGGAGAAGAGAAATACTTCGAAGTATTTGTAGCGGCGGCCTGAGCGCAACTTTTATATGTATGTAAAAAATAATTATTGTTAAGAGAAGAATCAGCAAGTGATGTAAATTAACATAATATAACAGAATAAATTATCACGTTCCAATAAGATATACCAATAATAATTAAAATATGATATACTGTTAAAAGTGTTATTCCACTTGATGGGTTTTGGAATACTGTGCGGTTGTTGGCTCTTCGAATGTTCTTGATTATCCTCAATTTCCTTTGTGATAAAATGACCTTTCGTACCATTTACATTCACATATATTCCATTTGGATAAAAGTTTGTTTCCGGATATTGAGTTGTATTCTTAGATCCTGTGACAAATTATAAAGCGTTATAAACATAACTCTCATAATGTTTTATATACATATACTATATAGAAATTTTCGTTTCATATGTATTTACTGTCAAGTAAATAAAAGAATAATTTAAAGATTATAAATTTATTTACTAACCTGAGTTTACTTGATTTCTTGAATTTACCAAAACATTTGACTTTGATGCCCACTGTATCTTTTTTGCATCCATCTCTTTATCAACTGTACTTTGTTGATGTATATTATTTTCAAATTGCTGTCGTAGTTTATCATCTTGCCTAGCCATGCCTACGAAACATTAAACTTTCTCATCCATATCTAATTATACAATAAATTTTATATCAAAATATACTCTTCCCTCTCTCTCTCTCTCACGACAAATGAACTATGAACACAACCATATTTCGCATTTTTAATCTACCTGTACATATACTTTCCAAGTAAGTTTAATTATTTATATATAACATTGATCCATAATATACATATTGTGTAAATACTTCATTATATTTTAATACATAATTAATTTCTTTACTTATCTTACTGCGTACATTTTCAAATTTTCACTTAATTCATGGAACACATCAACATGCAACATAATTTTCATGCATATCGTTATTTTTCATGCACTATAACTGTTAAGAACTGTCCGTATACTTGTTTTAATGCTATCATGCTGATACAATACAACTCATGCAGCGTGCAAATATTCATCGGTAAGTTTTGTAACAGCACATTACTTTAGATTGTACCATAAACTTATTATGTACTAATTATAACAACCTTTTTAATATTAATAAAAATATTAATAATAAATAATAATAAATTTAATATAATAAAAGAAATTAAATGAAATATTACAAATCGTAATTTTATATATATATATTATTTCGTGTATATTAAGTAATATATATTAAAACAATAAACAAATTCGACATTAATTTTTATTTACCTTGATCCCACGGATGTGTCTTAATTCCCGGCTGTACTTGTTGATTTTGCTCATCATACCACGTACTCGGTTTGAAACCAGAAGGTCTAAGGGTTGGCTGATTCAAAGTGCTATTTTCTTGTTTTGTCCAAGAGGGATGTAGTTTATTTTGTCGCGATTCATTCCGATTCCAATCTTGAGTAAATTGGTGGTCACTATTTAGCAAAACGTTTTCAGTGGATGGAAAAGTACGATTCAAATTGGGATAATAAAATCTTGGATTCGTCCTACTATAGTCTTGTCTATTTGTAGACAAATCATGATCGGTCCTTTGAGTGGTTGGCAAATTGCCTTTAGGGACGTTAAAAAACTTTGTTTCGTTATGTTTATTCTGAAGCTGAATATTATCTTCATTGTATCCTCCAGGAGGAAGATATGATGGAAATTGTCTTTGATCTGTTTCACTCGATGCAACATGTTCGGGATAATGATGATGGTAATGACCAGAATCATAACGATGGTCGTGATGACTATTATCTGCATTTGGAATATATCTTTGGTTTCCTTGATCGTGTCTTCGATCGTCAATAGTAGCAGTAGAGCTGTCCGAGTTCCAATTTGGATTCACTGGTCCATAATTATGATAATGATGGTGATGATGATGATAATGATAACCAGGAGGATAATATCCATGGTCATAACGATGATCTTGATTTCCATGTTCGTGTGTTCTCGCTCCTTCTGGACGTACGAAATGATAAGGTGGTTGTGCATTTTCATCAATTCTATGGTTTTCCGCCCGTTGCCTATCCGAATGATCTTGAAATTTATAATTGCTGTCAGAGAATTGTCCAAATTTTCTGCTACTTGGCTTCCACTCTGGATGATATGGCCCATAATCTTGATATCGGTTTTCTCCATATGTCTGGCCGTCATGATAATTAACTTTGTGTTGAGAATGACCGTTAGGTGGCCTCGGAGTTGTCCATACTGGGATCCAAGGTGAGCTTGAAGAAGTTGCAAATGGTCTCCAGGTTGATCTAAGTATTGGACTCATTGTCGTGTCATGTTCCGATCGAGAAAGATAGCCACGAAGGTTAGACGTACGGTTATAGTGACTTGGATGTGATGTGGCACCTCGAGATCCAGTAAATGGAATCCAAGTACTCTCCTTTGTCCCGTGTACTCTATCATCAGATTTATCTGTAAAATTTAAAAATTATTGATTTATTACAATCATTTTTTAAATATTTCAGAAAGCATCAATTAATAATAGATCCTGCGAAAAGTGATTTATGATTATCTGACTAATAATGTTTGATTTTATCTAAATATTAATTAGAGTATTTGTATTAGAATTGGTTAAGATATGCATCTCTAACTATGTCGCACTTAGTTTTTAGTTTTCCTAAATATGACCGCTTACCTTGAAAAACGCAAAATTATTAAAATTAATAGTTTGTACTATTTGTTGACAATGAATTACCTGTTTTACAGCCAGGTACGTTATATGGCCAATCGCAAACCGTCGTAACAGGATTAAAAGCTGTTCCAGGACCACAGTCCATTACATAAGTAACACCGTTCGCACATTGAAGAAACTTTTTGCACGTGTCCGGATGGGGCAATAATCCGATGAAATCCGTAGGACATGAAATTTTCTTCGCTTCGGTATATTTCGCCTTGTCGTGTTGAAAATTTGGGGGCACAAGTGGAATTTTTTCATCAGGTGTAAAAATGTCTGTATAATAGTATACATTTAAAGAAAAAATTGTATTACACAATAAAAGGAATTATTTCTTCCAGGAAATGATCACTTAACGTTACCTTCACAACCCTTTACATTACGTGGCCAATCGCACACACCAATAGCGGGGTTGAAAACCGTTCCAGGACCACAAGTCATAATATAAGTTGCACCGTACGCGCATTGTATAAATTTCGTGCAATCTCCACGATCTGGCAGTAAACCGATCAAATAAGGCGGGCAGTTTGGTTCCTGTCAGATATAAATCGATAAAGTACAGTATATACATTAATATACATAGAATATATTAGATTAAAATCGATAAATTCGAGAAGTAAAATAAAATTTCAATTTATGATGAATAATAACACATTGTCAAAAAACGTACTTGTAATTTCTGTGATTTTCGATTAATTTGGGAATCAGAATCTTGCTCCTTGAAAAACGTGGATTCATCCTCGTAGCATTTTACTTTGTGTGGAAAGTCGCATTCCAAAGTATCAGGATTAAAGTGAGTGCCTGGAGCGCATGGTTGAATAAATGCACGACCCTTCCAACAATTGACGAAAAATTTGCAATCTGGTGGATAAACAAATTGTCCTGTGGAATTATCGTCAGGACACTGAACACCCAATCGAGAGTTATATCGAGCCACTTTACGTTGTGATTTTTGTGAAAGAAGTAAATTTTCTTTTCGTGGTTTCTGTATAAACAAACAGAACCAGTATCATTATGATGCAAATATCTGACAAATGTCATCAAGTAGAGATTAAGACTGTAAAGATTAGATGCATACAAATGCTTAAACGTAGAAAAACAATTACCATGCTGTCAGTAGATACGCCTTCGTACAAATCCTCCTTCTCAAATTCAACATACGGTTTTTTCGTCTCATCATTTTTCGATGGATGCTTTTGCTCAAAATCAATCTCGTTTTGAGGCCGACCACGATTTCCATATTTTGATTCATTCTTAAAATGTCCGTAATTTCTATCGGACTGTGTCAAATCTCCATACTCGAAAGGAAATTTTACATTTTTCTGTTGTTCTGGAATTTCTTGAGAAATTTCTTCAGAAACTTGCTCAGGAATGTCAAGTTGCGTTCTTTGTTCAATTTCGCTATCCGAAGCCTTTCGCCAAGGACTCCAATTCTTCGTGCCAGATTTTGGTGTGATGTTGTCCTGTGATTGATACCATTTTGAAGAAGGAGATGTTATTGCAACATGCGATTCTTTCTCATTGTCACCTGAATGCCAAGGAAGCACCGATTCGCGACGCTCTGGCGGTTTCGTAGTAGTTAATCTTGGATCATAGATCTGTGAAATAAAAACCAACAGAGAACAATATCAAACAGTCTTCAATTTTATTGTTGAAATCAATACTTATGTCAAATTTCTACATTTTATTTCTTTAAATAAATTATGTACTTTGAAATTAATAAATAAATTTGATTATAGTAAATGCGATAAATTAAATACGCAAATAAGATGTTTGACAATTCTTGAATAATTGCTTTATTCCTTAATTTTTGTTGATACCCGGGAAAAATGCATATATTTATTCACATCTGAGTATATCTAATTCAGAAAATATATTGATGACACACATTTTCAGTTTCCGTCTAATAAATTACACATTTCTCGTCACATGCAGTCTCGTCACATCTGGTATTGAATTTACATTACATTTTAGCATATGTCGTTATACAAACAGGGGCGAGCGATCAACGCAAATATTTTTTAACTCAATTCATTAAGCTCGGGTCTCGAAACATCGCGCTATTCGTCGTGTAATATATATGGTATTATCCATATGTAATATACATATATGGTATTTTTCAAACAAATTAAATTATTTTTCAAATTAAATTCATCAAGTTAAATAGACCAAACAATTTAAAAATTAAGTAAGTTTGTCGTTCTATTAATCTTGGAAATAATAGTAAGATTAAAAGATTTGCATTTAAAATTCACACTTTTCGTACGCATTATCATACAGGCTGTATTTTAGTTGGTGTACAATATTCCAGGATCGTATTTCCATCGATCAAAGATTAAAGAAAGTTCGTATAAACAGAAGTCTAGAAATGGTTAAAAAACATTCTGTATGTAATAAAACATCGATATTTTTGATGATACCTAATTCGCCTTTTTATTCACTTAACTAAGTCTAGTCCGTATTTAGAACATTATATTTTAAACATAGTCTCTCCTGTATTAAAAAGTAAAATTAAAACAGCTTCGTGTGTCACTAAATGTCACTCGCAAGTAAACAATCCCACCACGTACCGCGGAAGAAAAAACAGCTATATGTAGAAGGCAGAGAGTGACGAAGAAATAACTAAAACACAGCGTCATTTTCGATTCTTCCACGATACACCGAGCATCGTACTATACTGATCCTCGTCTCTTTCTAAAATCGTGGCGTTTTAACCAGAAGCAGATATTGCGCGATACACCAGAGGAAACAAGTGCTCTTATTCATGGAAATCGGAAGGTTATCAACTAGAAAGGTCGGAGATCGTCTCGACAAAAGATAATGAAACGGAGAGAGGAGAAGATGTGTGTTCACGCACCCGCACACGCATAAAATAGAAAAAAGGACGCCGACAAGCATGAGAGTCGACGCAACAAACAAACGACTGCAAACAGAACTATTTGCCAATTGACGGTGAGCGAGTAAACTTTTGTTTGTTGATGATTATTGCAAGCCTTATAAAAGGACCGACGCAAGAGATAACACGGCATGATAAATGGATGAGGTTGCTATTTCACGCGACGTTTTATTAAGCCTCTTTGGAATGTTGTTACGGAAAGGAGATACATTTATAACATATCGATGCATCACGGTTTACAGTTCCTGCGAGAATTACAAGTGGCAGCTGATAAATCCACGTCGGAAGGTGCAAGTGGAGGTAATTGGATAAAAAATATAAGTGGGCTGACACATATCTGATTTACACTTACTGTCGCCACACATTACGTACTTGCTACAGTCCTTCGATTATAATGATACTGTGTGTAATGTGCTATCCTGCACAAAAATAACATACAAAATCATTTAAATAATGATAACCGCTGAGGGCATTGTGGTGTACAGATTTGCGGCACTTACTGGACATTACTATAGGCATTTTTAGGCATTAGTTTGGGCGCGTATTTTTTAGAACTTGCTAAGGCATTATAAAGATAAAACCAGATAAAATAAGATAATAAGATCAAGTAATGCCCACTGGGCATTAGTGGGCATTGGTGTATAACATTTTGGTCAGAGGTTTCCCCCTCGAAGATAACGTACAAAATATAACAATTCATTTTTGAACATTGTTTTTCGAACAAAGAGTCATTACATGTGTTTGATTTATTACTAATTTTTTTTATTTTACAAACTGAAAATTGAAAGCAACTAAAATTTATATTACTCTTCCATACATTGCCTACATTTAATGTAATATATTTTTACTTTTAAGTATCACACCATTGTGCTATAACGTGCATCTTTTTCTACAAACTTTGGTGTAATACAAGTACCTTTTCAAGGATTGCACTCTCTATAACTTTACTACGCATAAAGTGATTCAAATCTTTAAATCTTATTTTTAACCGAGTTCTTACTTCTTACTTGAGCTGTAATAAAATTACAGCGAATTAAATAAAATCAATTAAGTGTATGCGATATTTTTTTAAATTAAATACGGTGGATAGTAATATAAATCAATAGTTTAGCAAATTAAATTATAAAACTTGTAGTAAAATAACGTAATAACCTTTTTAAAACTATATTCATTTTCACGTTTCGTGTCACAACACACATGTAAAATTTTACTTTAAATTAACTTCACTCACCTTCTTATTCTCTTGGTTGCAGCGATAAAATGACAATAATACAACAGAAGTAAGGTCCAAGGTCAGCTAACGGAACAACATTCTTATGTGCTTTTAAAGAACTATTCAAGTGCAACTACAAAAACGTTATCGAAAGATTGTGATACTTATTGTCAGTCGCGTCGCAGTTTGGCGCAAGTTCTTCCAAGTCAACTGTCACCGCAAAACCTGCGCCCTTCCTGATGCATATACATCGTAAATGAATTTATAGAATGAGTTTATCTAAAGCGATGAAAAATCTGTCATCTATTTGGGACGCATACATGAAAGTTGCTTCACACTTCTGTTTCACGGAGTGAAGTTCGATACGTTGGAATTATACTCATTTCAA